AAACAATGGAAAATGTATTAGCTATCCATGTTTCTCTAAAATAATTTAACAAAACACACAGAGAAAGTGCATTGCCATTCATGCTACTTCATTACAAATTGAGAAATCAAATCACTGTTATTTGCATCACATTATTTGTTCAATGGAAAGCCTAAACATAAAAAGAGAACTAATGGAAGGTTTTCAATTAAAACAAGAATATGTAACAGAAATGTTAATTCATTGACTGCTCTTTCTCCAGCCTAATTGCTTTTTTAATCTTCTGAAATTGTGGAACCACAATAAAATAATTTGCAAATAATATAGTTGCAAATCACCACCGAATGGTAGTTGTTGGAATACACCCACTTCCCTTGTTATGTAAGGGCTCCAATCTGCAAGTATTTATTTAACCCAAATTTATTGTCAGTTTATGTACTGAACATAGAGAATTACCTCCCAATATATTGCACGGGTCCTCCTTTATTTCTGTAGCTTTAGTAAGTGAGGAAGGAGGGACAGGAGAGCGAAACTAAAGGCCTACAGGGATTTACTTTCTTTTAATGGTTAAGAGGCAGCTCCGTGAAATTGGCTCCCCTACAAACAGCAAAAATGATAAATCCCCTCTCATTTGTTAGTGCTGTGTTTGTGCCGGTTTGTGCTATAGAAAGTAATATTTGTGCTACTTTAATTTCCGAGATATAGCGCCTTGTTTTTTCGGGGTCATAATGTCACTCAGTCCCCCTACAATGTCGTAGGAGAACAAGACTGGTCTCCTTTGTTGGTGCTGCGTTTGTGCTGGCTTTTACCGTTGAAAGTAACTTCCCTGCTGCTTTCGTTTTCGAGATATAGCGCCTTCTTTACCTTCTTTTGTGGGGGTGTGACATCACTCAGCCTGCCTACTACGTCTTATGGGGAGCCAAACTGGTCTCATTCATTAGTGCTGTATTTGTGCCGGTTTGTGCCGTTGAAAGTAACTTTCCAGGTGCTTTCTTTCCCAAGATATAATGCCTTCTTTTTTGTGAGGTGACCTTGCCCAGCCCCCTTACAACGTCGTAGGAGAACTGGACCGGTCTCGTTAGTTATTTCAGCGTTTGTGCCAGTTTGCGCTGTTGAAAGTAGCGTTTGTGCTTCTTTCATTCCTGAGATATAGCGCGTTCTTTTTTGGGAGATCACATGACCATGCACAGCAACCTTGACCTCTAGTGACCCCATCTACCAAGTTCAAATGTTCTGTTATTTGTGGCAGAGTAACAATTCTGCAAGTTTGTTTCTCTGTTTGCCCAGGTGGGGGGTGGCGGTGGATTTTGCATTTAATATCAGTATCTTCTGCGTGTTTCTGAGAACAGGAAAATTAAAGTGGTAACCAATATCATACCCTAATCAGAAAACTTGCAGGTATAGCCTCAAAAAGCAAACATTAGCAAACAATTGCATTTACCTATGCAATTAACCTGTACCAGAGTGATGGAAAGAAAAGTATGGAGAAAAAATGGAACAGCTCATGATCCAAAACATACCACCTCATCTGTGAAACATGATGAAGGTAGTGTCATGGCTTTGGCATGTATAGTTGCCAGTGGAACTGGCTCACTTGTCTTTATTGATGATGTGACTGCAGACAGCAGCAGCAGGATGAATTCTGAAGCGTACACAATCATCTTATCTGCTCAGATCCAACCAAATGCTTCAAAACTCATTGGATGGCGCTTCACCTTGCAACAAGACAATGATCCCAACTAAAGCAACTATGGAGTGTTTCAAGGCCGAAAAGTGGAATGTTCTTGACTGGCCAAGTCAAACACCCAACCTGAATCCCATTGAGCATACATTTCACTTACTGCAGACAAGACTGAAGGCAAAAAGACCCCGAAACAAGCAGGAACTGAAAATGGCTGAATTACAGGCCTGGCAGAGCATCACCAGGAAAGATACTCAACTTCTGGTGATGTCTATGGGTTGCAGATTTCAGGCAGTCATCAATTGCAAAGGATTTACAAACATGCCAAATTTTCTTTAATATTATGTTAATGTGTCCAATTACTTTTGGCCCCATGAAATGGGGGAACTATGTATAAAAAGGGCTCTGATTCCTATATGGTTCATCCAATATAGACGTAAATACCCTCAAATTAAAGCTGACATTCTGCACTTGAACCTCATAGTCATTGTTTCATTTCAAATTCAATGTGCTGGAGTACAGAGCCAAAACAGCAACAATTGTGTCACTGTCCAAATACTTATGGGCTGCACTGTAAGTCAGAAAATACTCAGAGTATACAAAGAAGCTAAGTAATTCATTTTTATGTTTTCAGGTTATGTTGCATCTATTGAAAATGAAAATTTGTATAGTTTTTAATGACTGGGTTTCCTTTTTTGCCATTTATATTTATTTTTCATCACATTTTCAGGAAAACATGAGATGAATCAATGTCATAGCACAAACGATATACAGTACTGTTTTGATTTGAAATTGGGATTTTACAGTGAAGCTGGAAATTAGCACTTCAGGCTCTGGTCTCTGTTCATTTGCCTGTTTTCTTTCTGTGTATTTTGGTAGACCCTTCTAGAGACCACCACCAGTCTCCTAAACCATGACCTGCACTGGTCCTTGTCTAACCTGCGTGCCGCTGTGAGCCGTGGCCTTCACCCCCGTCTGGACCATTGCAGCATCTGCCTCCAGCAGTACAAGAGAAGGAGTGAGGGCGAGGAAGAAATCATCATCTTCAGGTAGGGCAAGCTGTCTGTGCCGTGGGTGCAGGAAAGCCTTAGGCTCTCTTTTAATCAAATCCATTTGTATTTTATGATTATTTTTTACCAGTCTACTTGTCTTCTTTATGTGTAATTTTTACTGAATATCAATAATATATTACATCAGCATGCCGGGTTAGGCTACCGTCATCCCCTGTGACTCTGTTCTAGATAAAGCGGTTTAGAAAATGGATGGGTGGAATTACTGTCTTAATTTTTTTTATCACCCTTCATAATATCTAATAATGGTATAAGCAGAAAAGCTGAGACACAGAAGCATTAAATAAAGCAGAGACTTAGAAACATAAACATGCAGTGCCATTAATCACCTACAATAGCCGTGATATTAAAACATGCCTTTTCAACCATGATTTAGATCTAAAAACAGACTCTAGATATGGCAGTCTTTGGGAAGAGACTTCCGTAATTATGGGGGTAAATTTAATATGTAGAACTGAGTCTTATCTTAATGATAGAAGACAGAAACGTACTGATCATAGATTAATATGAGATAGAGGTGTGATAAAGCGTAGAAAGTCCTAGACATACAGTATGACAGAAGCAGACCATTTAGAACCATATAGTTTCAACACAAGGAGTCAATTCTAAACATACAGTAAGTCCTTGACTAACCTTTTAACTCTACTAACTAAATTGAGTAGATAGCTTTAGGGCATGTAGCATATGTTTGGAGTTTGGATTAATGTGACATATTAAACACTAATTTTTCAACTGAACATGTAAGAAAACATATAGTTTATAACATATAGTGTGACAGGTAACATTGTTTCCTTTGATTGCATTCCTGTCTGATTCTAGGCTGGGGCATCTTTTGTGTAGAGCCCACATATCTTATTGTCACTTTAAATTTCCAGATTCTTAAGAACAGGGAAAGCTTTCATCTTGTCCTAATAAGCAAATAATGAGTAAAATGAGTTAAAGGGAAATCTGATCATGCAGGACTGTAGTTGTACACTCCTGGTTTAGAATTTGCATGTAGTCCCTGGGTCTGTCCACATGCTTCCACAGCTCAAATATGTGCTGACTAGGTTACTAGCTTTCTTTAAATTGTCATTGTGTGCTTGTGTGTGTATGCATGTACCAGTGGATTAATGTCCAGAGTTTAGACCTGCCATGCTACCTCTTCTTTCAGAATAAGACACTTTAGTCATAATGGGTAGTGATAATGCATAAATGTGAATAAAGAACTGATTGAAGTATAGAGTACTGATAAGAGAGCTACATCAGATTCTAGTCAGTGAGATCATCAAAGGGAGACCACAGGAATCTCTTTTTTGTACTACTCTCCTGAATTTACATCTGAATTATACTCTTTTGTATTACTCTTGTGAATTTAGACTCTGGCATAGTTAGTAAACCTATAAAACAGATGTTATCCTAATATAGTTGGAGTTGCAAAAACTATAGCAGGTAGCTACAGATGAAAAATATGTAGTGAATCTGGACAGTACACAGCAGGGGGCTTTCAAACAAAAATTGTTTATTGGAAGCCTCCAGACAGCATGGTTCAACAATGTAAAATAGAATATGTATTAAAAAAAAGAATATGTCAGTAAAATAACTTATGCTTTTCCAGTTATTGTGGTTACCACAACAAAAGTTGAATATGAACAGTAAATTATCTTTGGGTCTTTGTAGTCCCTCTGTTTTGCTTGAACTATAGAAACTCTAAAAAAATAGTCAGGGATCATCTGTTCTGACACCTTAGCCATCTAAACAGTTGTTACCTTGGTAACCAAACAAGCTTCAAATGAGTGTGAGATATGTGAATTGAGAACTTTGGAGTCAAACGTTCTGATTTACCAAATTAAAATGATGTGTAGCTTTATGGAAGGTTTGTGTCTATTACAACAGCACAATATTCTATAGCATGAAAGCAAACTAGATAAAATCACTGTTCTTTATGCATTAAGGTTTTGTTGACAATATGTTTTGCCTCACCATCCCCATCTGTCCCAGAGTTCACCAGCCATGTCTGATCTGAGCTCCCAATTTAACAAAACAAATATGACAGATTATGGGAATAAAATCATTTTAGATTAGAACAAAAGGGCAATATAGAGACTTTATGCAAGTAATACAAAGACCCAGGGACATGAAAAAATTAAGGTTAGGAGCATTCATGGCTAGAAACATGAGACACTTCTTCACATATGGTTGCAGGAAGATGGAACCAACTCTTGCCATTTGTTGAAACTCATTCATGAGACCGTTTAAGAAATGTCTTGTTGGAATTCTTGGATCAATAAAATATTAACAATCAAGCAAACAAAATAGATTAAATGGCTTCCTCTTGTTTATAACCTTTTTTTTGTTTTGTAGGGAACTTTGTTGTTGAAACTCAAATACAGACAGTTAAGAACATTTTTGGAAACCTCAAAATACTGCAAAACAGTCATTTATTAACTAATTGAAAGCACATATAAACTTTTCCTGATGAGAAACATGCAAGTAGATATTTTGTAAATTATAAAATAATACACTATTAATATTTCTTACATGGACAGAATGTTAAAATTTGGGACTTGGGACTAATCTTGTTTCTTTTTTTTCCTGATCTTAACTTCCATGCTAAAGGTACAAAGGTTTTCAGATGAGACAGAGAACCCACATATATAATCTGTTTTGTTGCAGCTTTCTGTTACATAAATTACTGCAGATGTCATCCAGTCGATAGTACAGAAACATCAAATGCAGCTTCAAATTTAGTCTGGAGTGTGGGTCTTAATGGAATCTGACACTGTAATTAAGAATTATTTGATTAAGGATAGTTTATACATACTGCACCATGAAATCCTGAGGCATACCAGAATTTACCAAGTATATAGCATATCAGACTGAAATAATAATAATAATTGCTTACATTTATATAGCGCTTTTCTGGACACTCCACTCAAAGTGCTTTACAGGCAATGGGGACTCCCCTCCACCACCACCAATGTGCAGCATCCACCTGGATGATGCGACGGCAGCCATAGTGCGCCAGAACGCTCACCACACATCAGCGATCAGTGGGGAGGAGAGCAGAGTAATTAAACCAATTTATAGAGGGGGATTGTTAGGAGGCCATGATTGATAAAGGCCAATGGGAAATTTGTCCAGGATGCCGGGGTACACCCCTACTCTTTTCAAGAAACGCCCTGGGATTTTTAATGCCCACAGAGAGTCAGGACCGCGGTTTTTACGTCTCATCCGACGGACGGAATATCTGAATGTGACAGTTTATTTTATTAGACAAGTAAAATCTGAACCCTAACCCTAATACCTACTCTAGCTCCTTCCAAGGCATACAATACAGTAAGACAATAAATTGATTGACAATGAGAAATGTCATTCTAAAGTCTCAAAAAAGCAAAAATAGGTAGGGACTCTAATATTGATGATAAATTATTCACTGCAATGGCAAAGGCTTCCTCTGCACTGTGAAGAATTATGAAATGTGACTGAAACGATTCTTAATGTTCATCAGACACTAAGTGATGTTTACATTGAGAAGGCACTATACAACCTCATCTAACCTCCATGGGCATCGTTCCACCCTCACTGTGAGAATAGGTAAAAACCAACTTGAAAAAATAAATATATTATTTGGTATTGTGTTTGGCAGAAGGAGTTTTCGGACAAAGCAGAAAAATATTGCATCTGCAGAGTCTTTGTTGTGCTAGTGCTGTCTATTATTTTGCAAACTTAAATGCCAAATAAAATGTGATTTACTGTATAGGTAAAACAGTTCACCATTAAATATTAATAAAATACTAAAGTAGATAATACCTAGTGTAGAATTTAGTAAGGACTAAGAAACTAAGGTATCAGATCTTGGCAATCTGTTATAATAGCAGTTTGTGAGGGCTGACTGGATAGCTGTTAATGTGTTTTTGAAGCTTTAAAATGTTTGAATTCTGAAGCATTTTTTATTTGTTTTTAATTTATTTTATGTAGAGCTTTCATTTCTACTAGACAGGAGGCAATCTAATTTTACACAATTCCTGAAGAATTACACCAACATGCACTCTAAAAATAACACTAGATGGACATGCAAAGACTGTTTACTGTTTCTATGTATGAAATTAAAGTGAATATTTTAAGATTTATTTTTCTTTTTTTGGTTCTGATTATTTGCACTTTTAATTTGAAGAACACCATTCTGAGACATTACTCTGGTGCTTCACAGATCTTGTTTCCTTTAATAGTAAGGAGGATGTATTATGTTTAAAGTTTTACTACATTTTCTTAATATGTAATTATTTTCCTATTCTTTGTTGTGCACCTCATTCAGCCCTGAGAGGTATAATTAAAATAGTTTTATAGAAATTTAATAAAGCTTTGAATGAAGGATACGATAAACATATTGATTTTTAACCATTGTACATAGCGTGATTCTGCATGAGGCAGCTCATAGAAGGGACGCACGTTCTATGCAGGTCCCTGACCACAGATGCATCCCACACACAAGTCAGAAGTCAGTCTATCCTTTATTTAAATACAGCTGTATACATTACCAGCTCTATGAACAGCACAGTAAGGGAGGTGGGTGTATTCTATTAAAGGTGGGAAGCTGCGTCAGCATGCGTAGGCTGCAAAGGAATAAGTAATAGGTTTAATCCATGCTGAAAAAAAAGAAGAAAGAGAACACAGCGTTTCGGCCGTGGAGCCTTCTTCAGGTGTGAGAGACAGGGCAGTAGGCAAAGGTAAAGTAGCGGAAGAACAAAGGTTGGGAGGGAGGAGGAGTGAGAGGCGGGAGCAGGGGACAGAAAGAGAGGCCAATCAAGAGGTGGGAAGTCAGAATGGGTGCAGAGAGGTGTGAAATGAAACTTCCAATGAATAGAGAAAGTCTGTCGTTAAGAGAAGGGAGAATGTGTGATCCTAGCTGCAGAACAATTTTGGTTTCGGTTGTCTTTCTGATGTATGAGTTCGGAAAACTGTCTTTGAGAACACAGACGGAGAGATTAGAGTGGTCGTGGCCGTCAGAGGTGAAATGAGAAACAATGGGCTTGGAGAGATCTTTAATCTTCACAGCCCTGACGTGTTCTCTGAAGCGGTCTCCGAGTCTCCTTGTTTCTCCAATGTAGATGGCTGGGCATTTAAGAGATACAGTAAATAAGGTTGCTGGATCTCTTTACTACAGAGATACAGTAATCTCTCCCGCTACTTTACCTTTGCCTACTGCCCTGTCTCTCTCACACCTGAAGAAGGCTCCACGGCCGAAACATTGTGTTCTCTTTCTTCTTTTTTTCAGCATGGAATAAACCTATTAGATATTCTATTAAAGGCAGCCAAGGTGGTTCACAGAGGTCTTCGGCTTCAGTCTGAGGAATTTTAGTGCAGCCGAGTGGCTCAAGTCTTCAGCCCTGATCCTGGCTTAGTAGTCTATCAGCCTGTCCGATAGCAGATGGTGATATGAAGATCCTATGTATCTCTTATTCTGGCTTCTTCTCCAGTATATCTCTGTGTCTTCCTGATTTGATGCTCAGTGGCTTTATCTGTGAATGAGCAGGATGCAGAGGGTAAGGGTGATCCTTGCTCCAGTCATTGCGGCGACTAGCTTCTTGGGAGCTGCATGTGCAGTCATTAAACTTCGGGTAGAGTAAACCTAAGAGGCCTTGATAAAAGTGACATCTGTCAAGCGCTTAACCCCAAGTGGCATCACAATAGTTATTTGGACAAATACTTTATAAAGTAGTTAACCAAGGTCCACCTGAAGTTAGTGGAATTATATTGTGAGTGGGTCAAGGTTGATCAAAATGGTGTGTTTTGGTAACATTTTGAGTTTTGGTTCTTTGGAGACTGTGTACTGTCTATAACCTTCACATACCCTTTTGCAGTTCTTTTGTTGCATCAGAGGAGGAAATGAAATCAAAGAAAATGTTGTTTTTTATGTTTGGGTTAAATGGCTGGAAATGGAGGAGTCACTTAGCTCTAAGGGCTGTGAAGAACAGTTCATTCTTGAATCTGGAAAACAATTTTCATTTCTGTATTGAGAAACTTTGTAATTACTGATTCAATGTTGAAGTCAGAACCTTTTGTAAATAAAATACCTTGATGCACTAAGACCACACTTGGGTCTAACATATTAGACCCAAAAGACATTCATTGTGTCTTTTAATAAAGAAATATCCTGATGCTTGGGGTGACCAGCAGCACCAACTGCCAGAAAAATTCTTAAAATTGTTTAGCAAAGTATAGAAAAGCAACAAAGTGACATTGACCATACAACGTACAAAAATTGCAAGTTATGATATATAATTTTCTAAAAATATACAAATCATTATACATGGTCTGCTAGTGGACAGACAGCACCATCGTACAACTATTATATAACAGACTATAATGTCAACTATATATTTGTTGAGATTAGACCAGGTGATGTTTTTTTGCCACTGTCTACGGCACTTCTGTACTTGCTTATTCAGTTCTGTTGCTGTTGTGTTGCTGTATGTTTCAGCTGCGGGCACCTCTATCACTGCCAGTGTCTGCAGAGTAAGGAGTGTGGGCTGGCAATGGAGAGACCAGGTGGATGGAGCTGTTATAAATGTACCTCCAATAATCAGGGTGGGCGCGGTGGAGAAAGAAGTGCCACAGATGTGCACCGAGGACGGAGCACCTCTCTCGCACAGGTCAGTACTTTAGGCAACACACTAACTACAGAGTTCACTGCTACAGGGAACAAATAGATTGTAAAAACAACAATGACAATTGTTATTTGTTCTCTAACCTGTCAGTGGTTTGGTAATCTCATTTGTAAACAGAGCTGTGAGCACTCTGAACTGATCAAACCTCTTATGACCCAGTGTTCTTCTTGAAAGGTGAGTTATATAACCAAATATAGGAAACCTTTCAGCTTTGTGTCGCAGTCAATTTCGAAGATTAATCAAATTCAGAGATGAATAGCTGTAAATATAAAAGACAGGGAGTTAGGGTGTTACTGAACTTTGGTTTATTTCTGAAGATCTGTTTTATGTAGAAAACCAGCTAAGGTAAACAAATTTCATTTTTAGTTTGATTCTGAGGAATATTGTTTAAACCAAGAAAAGCAACCGTGTCAAAGCAACACTCCATTTGGAAATTACATTTGTATTCAGAGATTTTGTCTCCATTATCTGTTTTACATAATATTTTTATTTCAAAACACTGAAGAGAGAGCACCAGAAGAGGATTGAAGCCACAAAGCCACAAACACACTACATAGAGTAAGACTCTTTGTGCTCCATGGATTTCCACATCAGACTTCAGTGAAAATCTCACATGGAAAGTTACATTCTTCACACGGATGATCCTCTTTATTAAAGGAGTTTAAGACACACGGTTCAAAGAAATAGCTGCAGTCCGAACCTAGATTCAAGGAATAAGGAGCTTAAACTTAAGCCATTCATAAAAGTACTCCTGTGCCAGGGGCAACAGAGAAACCAGAAATTGTGCATGACTTCAGGCATGTTCTCTGTCCCTGGTCAAACAGGGTCAGAGGTAGGGCTTTATTCGAACCTGACTGTTCAGAGGAAGAAAAACCTTCTAGAGGTGAACATTCTGGTGAAGCCCTGATTCTGAGATCCAGGGTAAAAGGAGAAATTACCACTTCAAGGCAGAGGCTGTGACAGGAGCACAGCCCTGGGAACATCAGAAACACAAAGAAAAGATAAAAAAATTGTAGATAAAAATAACTTAACAGAAGAGGTAGCAGCTATCCTACTTACAGATCCAGCCCTTCAAAATGAGTGAGGTATGCTGCGTTAAAACGCGGTGGACGTGGTGCAACATACTGGAACATACCACAACATACCACGGTTTTTTAAATATTGATAATAGTATCCGGAAGTACTTTGTAAAACTGCCAGATGGAACTAATAAAGCTTAACGTCTCATGTACAGCAATTGAGCTGTCGCCAGAAAATGAGTCCCGGTCACTGCTGAGGGACAATCTTTTTCCAATGAAGAATTTAAGTTGCATACTTACATATTTAGACTTTTAATAATTTTAAACTGTGTATTAGAGCATGTTAAACATTAAAAAGTCGGTATGTTTTATAAAAGCAAGATTGCTCAGTTGGACAAAAGTACACAACCTTTCATCTTCAGCTTAATAAATAATTTAATTATGCATAAATATTTTATGCATCAAAGTCTTTAACTTGGTAACTTACAGTGGGTTCTGGTTTTAACATGCTTGTTCTAACACTATAAAGCTTATATTCTGTACTTTAAACAAAGTTATAACGTTTGATCCTTTTCTAAGAATACGTATTAAGAACACTTGCTGTTATTGTAAAAAGATAAATGTTGTAGTGATTAAACATCACTTGATAGTTATATTAACATAGAATTATGTACCTAAGCAGCTAAAGTATCACAAGTGGATGTTTTGGAAACATTTTGACATTTGTTTCTTTTTTGAAAAAGAACTTCTATTGTCCCTTGTAATGGTAATGAGCACTGTAATGTAGCGAGCTGCACCCAGGCGGTTCAAAGCGCAATCAGAGCATTACTTTCAGTTTGTTTCTCATATAGCCAAATACATAGTCCACTATTATAGCTTATTGTGAACTTGATGTGTCTCTTTCAGGTTAACCGAATTGAGAAAATGTATATTTTGTCTTAATCCAAATGTTAGCAGCCAGTAATCAACCAACAATTTAACTTTTAATTAAATTTAACATTTAATTAAAAAGTTTAAACTGCTCCATGTAGTGCACCACCTGGAATTGAACCCAGTCAGACAGCGTCATTCAACAGTTAACTGAATTATTAGACGTGATGGTTTTGTGTTTAAGGATTTCTTCACAGTAATCTTTAAATTTAATGAGGGAGGGGGGAAGGGTTAATTTTTACAATTTCCAGTAATCGGAGAACAGCTTATCAGCACAATGGGCAAGTGAAAACTAAGTAAAAAATAAGATACAATGACGTGTTCCTGCCTAAAACATTGGATGACTTTAAAAGCTGTAAAAAACTGGTTTCAGTATTTAAAAAAAACTTTTTATGTGCGAAAAACAGGTGTTTTTTCTTCCTCGTGATCATCCTAGAATCTTTGTGTATGCTGTAAGATTTTTACTTATTAATTAAATGTTAAAAATACTTGAATTTCATAAAAGTTGTACTGATTTAATACCTCTTGATAGTAATATCAATATGGAGTCATGTAACTAAGCAGCTAAAATATGAAAAGGGGACATTTTGGAAACATTTGACGTTACTTTTTAAATATATATATATATTATTGTCCTTATAGTGGTAATAGGCAATGGACTGTCATGTAGTGTGCTTGTTGTTGCCTATGGTGAGTGTGTGTATCTGGAAGAATTGTTATAAGTAATGGATTCATGATTTAGGATTTCTTCATGGAATTCTTTGAGTTAAAGGAGGGAAAAGGGTTATACTGTATTTACTCGTGGGGGTGAGATATTTTGATTTTCGCTACAATACTATAATGAGTCCCTTAGGCATATCGTTCAAATTTTCTAATTATAAAAAATAAACCTTTGTTAAGTTTGCACAAGAGACAAAAGGTACCTTTTGAGAAGTCGCATACTTCTTGCATAGCAGCTAATTTTTCCTGAAGAATTAAAAATCTGTCTGTACTGTAGCTTAATTTAATTGAGCAGAAAGTCACCTTACTCTTACTCACCTTACTCAAACGGCTCTGTTAAGCAGAGTTTGTGTTAACACACCACACCCTTTTGAATGAGTTTTAATCATCATTGTCAGAGAAATAAATGACCACAGGCACTTTTCCTTCCCCTCGGTGCGAGGTGATAATGCAGAAAACAAGTTTTTTTTATTTTACTGGAAGTGTGAACGTTGAGTGAGCATTGAGGCGCACAGTGAGGTTAGTGAGATGGATCATTTTAGTAAATACTGTATGTTGACAAATATCTTAAATTTTGCTTTCACGAGGCAAGATAAAATTGTATCCAGCTGTGAATCAGCTATGTGACCTTGCCCCCTTCTTTTGGGAAAGAGTCTAAGTGGGCAGCGTTACTCACCGTGTAGTGCCCTTAGAGTGTTAGTTTTAATACACTGTACAGTATAACAGTATTAAGGAAGTTAATTAAAGTTTTTTTTTAAATGTTTATAATTGCTATTCTTGCAAGTACATGTTGTATTCAGTTTGCTTCTGCATGTTAGCTGGTGGGCAAATGTTCGAGAGGAAAATTCTTCCACAAGGAGTGTACCTTTAAAGCAGAGAAGACGGTACCAAAAGTCTTTAGCTCTGTATGTCGCTCAAGCCATTTCTCTTTGATACTTTAGTCATAGAGGTGGGAAGATGTCTCCCCCTCCCCCTTCCCTCTTCCTGCCTGACCTGTTCCCATTTTTAACCATTCTGTGTCCGAATCACAGATGGTGAGATATAGTAGGGGGAGAAAGAAAAAAGTGAACCCTGCTTCAATTTTAAATTATATTTTACCTTCATTTTTTATTTTATCAGTTTGTTTTTTACTTATTTTTTGATAGATTTAACGTATGTTTGAACACAGTCTTGCAAATTAATATTTTTACAAGATGTGGAAGAAGTGCAACAATTTATCACAGTGTGAATTTTAATACTAATTATTGATTACTGATAGTTTATGCACCTGACTTTATTTAGATATATATAACATATTGAACTGTGAAATAACATTCAGAAATACAATCAGAAATAGTCTGTGATATTTGTTTAGATTTAACTTTTTCTAACATTTATTTAAAAAAAATTAAAATGTATAATCTTTCCATGTGTAATGTCATTAGAAAGTACAATAAGCCCCTCCTTTGTTTAACGATGGTTTTAAATATAAAACTAACTGGTGAGAAAGCTATGTTTAATGCTAACTAAAATATTTCAAGTTAAAAAAAATGATTTACATTCCATCATTAAGTTTTAATAAAAACGCTCAGTGCCATTAACACTGCAAGCTACAGAATGGTCTCCTTACGGCGCCGCCACTTCTTTGACTGGGCTCAGTGGGAATTGCGCTGTTTTCTAGCCACCTGCTAATTTGCTTCACACCACAGGAAGACAGGAGAATGGTTGTACTGTATCTGTACAAAGTGTGTGTTGCGTTTACAAAATGTTTAAAATATGTTTAAAATGTTTAATTAAAAAGTTAAAAAAACATTGTACACAAAGATTCTAAGCTGATCACAAGGAAGAAAACTCACCCATTTTTTGTGGATTTTGTGTTTTTAACTAAACCTGTTTTTAAAAAACATGTTTACAAAGAAAGCAGATTACTGTCATACTACCAGCTATATAAATGCATATGTTTATATCCTTAAACTAATATCGTTATTAATTTCTTTAGATAAGCGATTCCATATTATATTCCCTATTTAGCGAATTAGTATAAAGTATATTAGCGAAAGTATGAAGTTTTATACTGCGATAACGAATGCAAGTAGTCATAGAAAAGGTTAAAACATGGAATACAGAGGGAGTTTCAGAAATTATGCAGAGGTCTGGAGCACCCTGTCTCAAAAATAGACATTTAATAAATTGAAGGTTGTGAAAACAGTGACAAATCACCCCAAACATAATACAGTTTTAAAATACAAGCAGTTTGAAATTATTAGTTGTAATTAATAAATCGCTTAGCTTTGAATATGTTGTGATATTTAGAAATATCACCAAATTCAATATAAT